TAATAACTTAGTCTAAGTTAATCTACTTGTAACTTTTTATAAATGTACTATAAAAATAATGTGGTGTAATTATTTTCTTAAACCTTTAGGTTAACAAACTTTCTAAATTTGGAAGTAAAACCATTAAGACAAATAGAAAAAAATGTGATGCAAAAGTTTGTTAAAAGTAGTTTTAAATAAAAAATCTTTTGAATCTTTTTATTATAGTTTGTTTTAAACTTGTGTTAAAAATATGTGTAGCATATATTTTTAAAAGTTTTACGAATTCTAATCATAAGTCTTTTTTTTTTATGTTTGATTATAATTTTTTTGTAACTGTTTTCTCTTACTTTTGTATTTCCTTGAGCTAAAGAACAACCTTAAAGTACAAGGGTTGATTTGTAATGCATACTTAACCTTTTTTTTACTCTATATATACATACATATATATGTACATAAATAAACATACATATATATGTATGTATATATGCCTACATATGCTTATATGAATATATTATATATATATATATATATATATATATATATATATATATATATATATATATATATATATATATATATATATATATATATATATGTGTATATATATATATATGTATATATATATGTATATATATATATATATATATATATATATATATATATATATATATATATATATATATATATATATATATATATATATATATATATATATATATATATATATATATATATATATATATATATATATATATATATATATATATATATATATATATATATATATATATATATATATATATACAATAATAGTACAATTTAAAGTTTTTTATTTTATTTATAAAGTTGTACTTGATATAAATAAATAAATAAAGTTGAACATTTTGAATATTTATTGATTATTATGATAAATTATATAAAATATATATAAAGTATAAATATTTTGCAAAAATACTTTTATTTGCAATAACTGCTTCATTGCATTGTGGCATGCTTGCAATTTATTTTTTCTCTCAACTCTGGGTTATTATTTCAGATCTTGATAATCTCTTCCATAAGATCTTGCTTATTAGTAAGATTTTTTTTTCCAATCTCTTGCTTTACTATTTCCCAAATGTTTTCTATGGGGTTAAGATCATGCGAGTTGTCTGGCTATAGCAATACATCAACTAAGCCATAACAGTTTTTATTGTGTGGCAAGTTGCACCATCTTGCATAAGTATAAGATTTTTGACATTATTTTTAATATTTTTAAATTTTTTTGTCAATTTTTGACTTTTTTGGCTGGACATCAATCCCTCTTCTTTTAGCCTTCAACAAATGGTCCGGTCTGACACAACAATTACAGCTTCATGGATAAGCTTTGTGGCTTTTTTTCTGTTTTCCAGGCAGATATTTTTGATTATACTGTCCGCTCTTGGTGTTTTCTTGCGTTTAGAAGGTGGTCTCCTTGGACCAAACTCTTCCCCTGTATCAATTCTTTTTCTTACTTGCATTACGGTTTGGTAAGAAACCTTTGCGGTTTGTGTAATTTTTCATTGAGAATAATTTGTATTTTGTAAAAGACATGTTTATGAATTTTTAATGTAACTATAATAATAATAACAATGTATAATGCAGGTTTTTGACCAATGGTTTATAATCAAAATTTAATATGGCTGGCTGTAAAGGTAAAAAGAAGTTTAAAGGAACAAACATTAGGTATTTACTTGTAAGTTAAGTGTAAAATTATATATTTTTTAAAAATCACAGTTCGTTTTTTTAATGCTATTTTATTTTTAACTTTTTGATGTATTTGATGCAAATTACTCAGGCAATACCTTTTTTATAGAGAGAGAGTTTTCTCAATTAAAGTGACTGCTACAGTTGCCAAAATAAGAAAAGGAATAATGACTTTATTAAAATACGCACTCGACAGATCAAATGGTGGTGGTCGGTGCGTAAAAGCGATTCACCCGATGTATAACATTCATACTTTTTCCTAGTTGTTCTGGAACTATTGATAATAGTTATTATTGATAAAATAATAAATATATTACTGACAAATAAAACTTTTTTTTTCGAACATTTTATTTTATTTGCATTGTATATAAAGTCCGTTGAAGCAATTTAGTTGTATCTGATTAATTTACGTAAAATATAATATCCTCTGCGCAAATTATTGCTTTTTTATTGTGTTATTTTATTGCAATTAAAGTTGAGATAATTTTTTAGTTAATTGGATTTAACCAAAATAAAAAACAAGAATCAACGTTGAATTTACGTTGTTTCAACGTTGCTCTAACGTCTTATCAACTACGTATCAATCGAATATATCACCTATTCAAAGTTGAAATATGGTTGATATGTAGTTGATAAGACGTTAGATCAACGTTGAAACGACGTAATCATCGACGTTGTTTCAACGTCGTAGTTTTCGACGTCGGATTTTATTTCCAATTTAACCAAATTTCAACGTTGTTTTAATGTGGCATATGGTCGGTTTGCGACGTTGTTTCAACGTTATTTCAACGTCATTGTGCCTGCTGGGTGAAGATAAAAAATCAAAAAATTTAGGTATAATGTACCAAGCAAAGCAGTTATTACATTGATCTTGTTTAGAAAACATTTACTTTTCTTTTATTCATTGCTACTTAAGTTATGCGAACATTGCTTGGTGTGGCACTAACGCGACGAAAATAAAAAAATTGCTTAGCAAACAAAAACAGGCTATAAGGATAATTTCAAACGTAGATCGTTTCTCACACACACAAACACTTTTTAATGAACTCAATATCCTAAATGGATATAAACTAAACCTCTATCAAGTTCTTATTTTCATGTTCAAACTTGATAAAAATATATTACCAATCTTATTAATAAGATTGGTAATATATTTTTATCAAGTTTTGAAAAAATAAATCACATATACCCTACAAGATTTTCAAAATACAACTACATTCAATCCAAAACTTATTATTCCGCTACTAAATTCTCTATTGTAAACCGAGGACCAAAGTTGTGGAACATAATACTAAATAATGAAATGAAAACTAATTATTCTCTAAACCAATTCAAAACAAAACTTAAGCAATTACTTTTGTTAACTGAAAATGAATTAAATTTTTTCTAATAAAACTTCTTTATATTAAAAATCAATAATTAATACTTAATTAATTAATTACTTTAGATTATTAATACATAATTAATCAATAATTGTACATATATTTTTATCATTTTAAATGATAATCTTCTTTTTGAGAAATTTTTTTTTTATTTTTGCGTTATTTATTAATCTTTTACTTTTATTTTATACTGTTTATTTGCTTTTACTTAATTGGCAATGAAAAGTATTATAAATATAATTAAATAAGTTGAACTATAAAATGCTCTAACAATAAAATGTTTTTATATAAAATCATATCTTCTTATTTTTCGAACCAAGTCTTAAATGTTATTTTTGTCATTTTAATATTTTATTAAATTTTGTTTCTTTTATTTTACAAAACAATTGTTAAATCTTATTCTTTGAAAAACTATAAATTTTAAACGATATGCGATATATTTAAATTTTCTTTTATAATATAAATCAGAGATATATACATTGAAACTATATTTTATTGTTAAACTATATTTTGTCTAGTAATGACGCAATTTTTGGGGCTTAATGATAAGACTAAATTTGTCTTCTTCTAGTCCCGGTCATGTAATTATTTTTTTTTATAAGTTACGACTGTAAATTTTTTTTTTATCGGCTAAAGTGTAAATAAAAAAAAACTTCAATGTTAAGTTAATGTAATGTACTTTGTAAACTTAACAATTTAAGTAATTATTGCTTCTCTAGAGAATAAATAAAATACAATTTACGCTAATTTTAAATTTAAACTGAGTTTTTGAGTTTAAATTTCAGCTTATGAAATAAAACATTTTTTATAGCGTTTGTTTTACCAGCCTGTAATGCATATGTTTGGATTTCATAAAACTATAATTTATATATATATATATATATAATATATATATATATATATATATATATATATATATATATATATATATATATATATATATATATATATATATATACATATATATATATTAGGATTTCTAAAAACTGTATAATTTTTTTAATTATTTAACATAATATATATACACTGTATATCAATTTTATTGATATTAATTTTTATGATGCTGATATCATGATATCTGTTGTTCGACACATTTAAAAGCCATTTTTTTGTTGTTGACGTTTTCTTTTACTTATATCCAAAGTTTTCGTTTACAAAAAAAATTGTTCGCTCTATATAGCATATAATACAACTTGTGACTCTTGTCGACAATTAATAAAAAAACGTTATAATAATAGAAAATCACAACTTGTGACTTTTGTCAATAATTAGCACGCTAATTATTAATGACACACAACAATATCAAACGTCTTATCCCATTTTAACTCCTTTTATGCCGTTTTTTCGGGTCAGCTCGAAGAGGTTATCTTTTGACAGGAGTTGAGCGTTTGCTAAGTCTTTTAAAGTTTTAACTCATATCCACATTAAACTGTATATTATACAGTTTACATATTTTAAGTTTTCTGGTTATGAGTAATACTTTAAAAGATTTAGCTTCTATCAAAAAATCTATGGCAACTATGGCATGAGGAAACTTACATCCACTCTCAATCAAGTTTTAAAGATCAAAATCACGGAACCATACATTGATTCAAAATTTCCTGAATTAGGTTCACAACTTTTCCAATTTTTTTACACATTCAAAACTTGGAACAATAGAAGAAAAAGGTTCAATAATGGAAAAAACAATCATCCATTATAAAGACCTTAATAAGTTGCTTGACTATGTTCATTTGGAAAGAAAGATATTTTCTTTGCAAACGTCTCATATATTTACATCCAAAATATGAAACTCAACTTCCTAAAATAATAAAATAAAATAATAAAATAAAAAAATAATAAAATAAAAAAACTTTTAAGGCATTCGATACTGTTGAGCACGGAATTTTGCATTCAAAGCTAAAGCATTACGGT